TTTTTTTTTTTTTTGAGACAGGGTCTCACTATGTAGTTGAGACTGACCTGGAACTCTCTATGTAGCCCAGGCTGGTCTTGAACTCAGCTATCTTCCTGCCTCAGCCTCCCAAGTGCTGGGATTGCAGGCGTGTGCCACCATGCCCGGATAGTCTGTAGGTTTCAATGACATTACACGTGACAGGGAAACAAAAATCTATGTACATTGTAGTCTCATCATTGAACTAAACAGCATTTGTTCAATACGTTAAATGGTATTGCTTTGTTAGCAGAAGAATAATAACATCCATTAGTAAAAGATAAAAAATCTGTTACAAAAGGAGCAGAGAGGAACCAAAGGAAAATATTTTAAAAGTTCAGAGAATCAACATATGTGAAAAACATTTAAATCACAGAATAAAGCCCATGAGTGTAACTTCTATAAAAATGCAACACTCTTATAATATCAGCAAAGTTTTAGAAAGAATATTAGTAAGTTCTAGAGAGCAAGTAAGGAAAGTGTGCCAACAATACTGAAGGGAAAGCTCTAGCTTTGAAAAACAATTTTGAAAAACAAAGGCAATTTTGGCAATACGTATTTTAAAAAATTAAATAAATAAATGCATTCAAAATGTAGAGATGTTTCTCTGAAAGTAGAACCACCTGACTACCTATAACTCTTTGAATAACAGAAGAACTCTCATGTAATTAAATAGTATAGACATTATTGCTTTAGATATTGAAAACTTTAGAATTCTATGCATAGAAAATTTCTTTTTTATAACTAAAAATTAAACTAGATAGATATGCCCATAAAAATATCTGGAGATTTGCAAACGAATGTGTAATTTATATGTGATGTTATGATTGGTTTCCTTTTTCTGCTTAATTTTTTCTGCTTTCCTACTATGAACATCACATTGTTTAATTAAAAAGTTAGTTTCTATGGAAAGTACATTTATGTCAATTAATGTTTATTGGCGTCAAGTCATGCATGCCATATTAAATTTTAAATGATAGTTACACAACGGTATAATATGGCACTATTGAATGAATATATCATATATAATATTGATAATCAAAACTAGACTACTTAAACTAAAATGTAATCTTTCAGGGGATGAATTTATAAGTAGTTTAACTTATTTTCTTTTTTAACTTTTTAAATATTTCAATAGCAAATATAAACTATATAATAAAATTGTTTTGTAAAATATGATCACATGCCTATGGGGTCAAACAGCTATTAAGACACTGAAATATCAATTTCTATTTAAATGAATTTCGAGTTATTTTCTCATTTCATGCCTCTAGTAGGGATTCCAGGGCTATGTCATTTCCAATTTTTCTATAACCTGCTTTTTCCCTATTTATAAATACTGTGTAGGTTGTACAGATCCTATAATCTACATCATGTTTATTTGAACTGCAGACACTTTGTTCCCCATCCAGCCGAACAAATCGAAATCCACATTTTAGCAAAGCCTAAGGCAACTCATATGGACATCAGCATTTTATCCACTGAGGTTTATCTATCAAGTCTACTAAAGTGTCATTTCCTTATCGATGCTTCTCTTGACTACCCTGGGAAAAATATCAGAACTCGTATCTCTCAATCTCTCTCTCCTACATAATTTTCATTATATCGCTTACCATGATGTCATCTTGGAGTTTACATTTATTATATGTGTGCTAGGTATTTTCATGATTTAATTCTCTGCTTTTTTTCTGAACTTAAGGGAATTAAGTAGGCTTATC